TCCATGTCACCAACAAAGATGTTAAACAAACCAACAAAGATGTTAAACAAATTGATGAACAACCTGGATACCTTTACAGGTTGAACACCCGCAAAATTCATGTGAATCGTTTGGTGTTGTGCACCTGGACAAACAGATTCATCAGCAGCAGTACTGACATACACTGTTAACCCTAAACCAGGATTTTCTTGCTCCTCCAGGCAGTGTTTTACACACCTGTTTGAAAGGGAGGCTTACAACACAGAGAGGGCTCACAGAAATGGCACGGCACGGTATTTAAAACAACATTCTGTGGAATTCAGGTATATTTTAGTCCTGAGCAAACCCAGGGCAGGGTGAACCTGAGCACAGCCACCTCTCGCTAGCAAGAAGAAAGCGCTGTCTGCCCCAAGCTCAAGCAAACAAGAGATTAAAAATCTTCACAAACTGGGCCAGCCATCCTTTGGGAATCTGTAACCTGTGTAAAATGCAGTGTAAGAGGCACAACGCTGAACCAATTTCCCAATTCTGGGAGGTGGTCAAGCCACCCTTTCAGAAAATGTGGAAAAATTGCCTCGATGAGACTGTGGGCCTTCCCAAGGTGAGAATGTTTTAAGCTTTTTGAGACGTGGTCACCAACTTAAGCTACATGCTACCTACAGTGTGTTTTTTCCTATGTACAACCAAGAAGCGTTTCCTCTTCTGAGTCAACAGTGCCAAGAGTAAGCTCGACACAAGTGTTTGTGAATTTTATCAAGGACAGCAATTCAAAATCCCAAAGGTGGGGAGTTTCAGGGCATCACTTCAGTCACTTCCTGCACATTGTCTCATGGTCAGAGCTCTTAAACCTTTGTTTTTAATAAGCTTATGTCATAGTTTTTGTAATAAACACACATTAGTGATACACTGACCAGCACTACAACCTCTTAAAAATATTTTGCCCAGCAGAAGCACTCAGCAAGCCCAGAACCACACCAAGGACTGCATATAAATTTAATCATCCAAGCAAATTAAAACCCTCAAACTTCTTGCTTATGAAGGAAAGAAAGCAGAATCTAGCCTCAGCCTCAAAGAGCTTTCAACATCCGGCCCTCTCTATAGTTTGACTCTTCAAAATATAGTTGGAAGACACCTTAAAGATCATCTCGGACCAGGGCAGGGACACCTTCCACTAGACCAGGTTGCTCAAAGCCTCATCCAACTTGGCCTTGAACACCTCCAGGAATTAATCAGTTCCAAAAAACAGCACACAAATTTTACAAGCTGTGTTACAGGTGTGATGTGTAGGCTTTCCAGTCCAGAGCTCACACAGCACTCAGTTTCATCCAAAAAAATAAATCTATTTCACACAGGCAGAGATACAAAACCTTTCCCCTCAGGTGGGTCTACCTGAGCTTTGGAAACATGGAAAGTCTAGCCGTGGTCAGATACACAAAACTGAACTGTGGGGAAATGATGTTGAAGAATTATAAGAGTTTTTGCCCCACCTCAGAGCAGCAGGATGGATCCTGGCTGGTTTCCTACAGAAGGTGTGACCGTTCCCTGCACACAGAACGTGTTTCTGAATGTGGCCTCCAAATACTTTAGCAAGGTCAGAGGTTTTCTGTGAGCTTTTCTTGTTCAAAACCCACACGCAGGAAATGCACAAATACAGAAGCTTTGTAAAGTGGAATAACAGAGCTTCGGACTCCCACACCAGCCACCTACCCAGTGACAGCCCTTTGGTTACAGCCCCCAGGGAGTGGGGAGGAAATGATAGTTCAGTCACCCCCTCTGTTGGACTTGCTGATGATCTTGGGCAAGTCAATCCTTCCCGTGTGCCTCAGGCCCCCAGTTGGAAGATTTCTCACCGCCTGAGGTCTCAATGCCACCAGCTGCAGTACTGTACACGTTAAAAACATCTAGGAAAGCATTAGCGATCGAGCAGATGTCAACTGGAAAAACTGTTGGAAGCAGAAATGACCATGCAAAGCAGGATGAAAGGTATGTGCAAACAAATGTTTCCAGCATCAGAGCTTTGTACCCTCCTTTGGGAGGGTTGCCTCAACCCTTCTGATGCTCATTCAGACATTTCAGAACAAAACTATCCAGCTGAAACAGATCTGAAACCAGCCTTGTCTGAATTTCACAGCAAAAGAAAGGCACTCATCTTCCATCTTATAAGAGCCAACTCTTTGCTTGCTCCATCTTTAGGCTCCTAACAATAACTCTGCAAGTTCAGGTGGAAAGAAAGACTAAATCCAGACTGTAAAAACATGTTCTATAGATCGGATAGTATAAATTTGGCTTTCTCAAACATAAAAACAAAGTTTAAGCATGTTCTAAAGTCAAGCCTGCTTTATGCCACGGCTGTCCAAGATTAACAATGATCCTTCAGAAATGCAAGCTACAAAAACTTTTGACATTTCAGACTTGTTTCTCAATAGCTCAGTCTTTCTAACTCACATATTAACACAGACGATCTGACCATGGTTTACCACTTCAGGTTTCAGGGCAGAGATGTGGCAATAAGTGGAAAAAAAAACATATAAGGTGAGCTCTTCAGGGTATACAGTAAGCCACAATCAGTTAAACAAGACTACAAAACAAAAAGGAGGAGGAGGTCGCTTGCTATGTGCTCTGCTTATTTAAGCAACTGCGTATTTTGGGAGCAGGATGGCAGCTATAGGTTACATAAATTACGGAGTGCCCCAACAGCAACACAGGTTAGGGTGCACAATGCTTTCCCTAACACAGCTGTGCAGTACGTAAGGCTTTTCCTTCAAGCCTTCAAAGGAGAGTCCTGATCCACTTTTTGCAACACCCCAGATTCCAGTTTTAATGCCCTGTGGCTCAGTCCTGATCTTAAATCCTCAAGCTCACCAAGCTTTCTTCACAGGAAGAAAAATCCAGATTAATTTTTTTATATTCATCACTAACCCAAACAAGTGTCAGAGGGGTGAAAAGGACTTTATATTCTCAAATTTCTGTTCTGGCTTTGGTCTGATGCTTTGCCAGTTCCCCCAGTTGTCCCCATTACGGGACTTGGATGATCCAAACTAAGAAGCTCTTTAACAGGAGTCACAGGTGAGGGCAAGAAACTCCTCAACTTTGGCAAACCACAGACCATTCTGCAAGATGCCTTCAGGGAAGACCAGCAGCACTGCCCAGTGATTTGTATTTTGATTTTCTGTCCTTACACACCATATCCAACCTCTGCTCCTGGAGGAGGCTGGTCTTGGAGGAAGCAGCAGCCTTGCCCAGCTTGAAAAGGTCTTTCCCAAGGCATTTAACAAAGGCAAAGAGTTCTCCAACCCTGTTTGGGATGGAGGCTTATTTCCCCATGTATTTGCCTTACTGAAGTCCAAACTAAAAGTCTTTGATAAGTCTGTGCTGAAAGCCCAAATGTAATTTCAGACCTGAACTGAAATGAGCCAGTTCAGGAAAATCTTTCCAAGGTGTTGGCTGAAATCCTGATGCTGATGTAAGAAAACTAGCATTAGAAAACTTCCAAGTATTTTCCTCCTCGACATGTTTTGGTTTGTTTTTAATATTACTAAGACGTCCTAACTTTCCATTGATTCCCGTGCTGTATTCAGGACCCCTGAATCTAACCAAAACAAATTTAATCCTTTCCCATCATCCTTTCAGTAAAATTGCCCTGCTCTTCCTGCATCCCCTTCCAAGTTTCCAGTGTGGTACCGAGTATCCTGGATCGCTCACACGAGTGGTTGCAGAAGTTGTTTTTGTAGCATTGAATTCATCAGGCACAGAGGGACCACCATGGGGAAAGCAATTAGCCCAATTCCTCTGCATTCACCCCAAATGTATGGCTCTTTTCTGCTTGTGTGAAGGAAGAATATGAACTATTTCCCTTGAGAAAGGCTCAATTCCCTGTTATTTACTGATCAAGATAGAAACTGAGGGTGTTAAATACCCCAAAGAGGGAGTTATGAGGCCAAATCAATATCAATGAAGGATGTACACCCTCAGATAGAAGGTATATGCAGGGAGGCAGTAGTCCCAAGGCAGAGGGAAGAAATCAAGACACACAGGCTGTATTGTGTGAAATTTTTTCACTCATGAAACCAGCCCACTTATTAAGAACTCAGCCTCCTATTGAAAAATTAAAGAGTTTTAACAGTGCTGTCTGAACATATCAGCCTCAAAACACCTCCAGAAAGGATGCAACTGAACTTCCAGAGGATGGTGCAGACTCAGAGGTAGTAGCCGAGCTGAATTCCCTGGATGCAGCAGATGAAAGATACCATTTTTTTGCACATACCCTAACTGAAAGCAAAACAGGAAATGAGAAGGTGGCAGCTCAGTGTACCCCAAGAGAGACACACGCGCTCCTGTGCTCTGCTACCCAGCGAGGTTATTTTAACAGTGACCTGTAACTTTTTAGGTAAGAATTGTGAGAACATTCCACCAGGAAAAAAAGAAAAGAAATGCACAGCTGAAGAATTTTAACCCAAATCCAGTTAGTTTTTAAAAAGCACTGCAGGCTAGCAAGCAGGTAAGCAGCATGCACTCTGGTAGGAATGGTGCTCTTGATGAGATGGAGCTATGCTGGTGGTACACAGCGCTGCACACCTTAGTCTTCTCCTCTAACTTAAAAATAAAGAAGCCACACAATCTATGAAGTGGTCAGAGCAAACTTCTGTGAGATGCATCACAGCTAAAAATGGTTGCGGGTAGCCAGCTGGTGAGAGAGCTTGGGTACTCACTCCGGCCAGCGATTTCTGGATATTCTCCCTGGCTCTGGCAATGTCGCGTAGGATCGTGCTGGCTCCGTTCTCCTGCAAACAGTGCAGAAAGAACCAAGATTTTTTTTTTTTTAATACAAAACATGGGAAGCTGGTCAGGGAAGTTAAAAAAAAAGGGAGGTAAAAGTAGGGGAGGTTTCCTTCCAATGATTCAGCAAAATCAGCTGCAAGGATTGGCTCTAAATTAAGCAGCACTGACTGCAATCCCTGGTCACATCAGGCCACGTGCCCAGAAGATCATCTACGGTCAAGAGCTTTTCAAATTCTCTATTATTACCCTGAACGGCTTGGACAGCTGCCAGCCAGGCAGAGGGTTGGAATCACTTCAGCACTCCATCGTTAGGCAGCTCTTTTTCACATTATTACCTGTCATTGTATTTAAGCAAGAAGTGACAGCCCTAACCAAAGCCTTCTATCCAGAAAGGAATGACCCAGGGGTACAGCAGGACAAGTTTTTGCCCCCCATCCTCCTCCTGGATTTGAAGATTCCCTTCCTAAGGCACAAATTCAGTTTCCACGATCCATTCACTCCTTGCTTCTCCCAGAGTGCAACCCCACGAGCAAGATTTGAGACATGAAAACTGCCCACAAGCCCCAAACCCCGTGTCAAACAGACCACGAAACAGCAAAAGCCTGGACACATCCAGGTGGATACCACTTCCAGGTTGCAGGAAGGTTTTAAGGAGCATGGATCTTTTTCCTTTAGCAGAGAAATGGCTGAAAAACTGCTGCAGAATCTCCCTCAGAGCCTTCACACCACACATCAAAGGCAGAACTTCTTCACTGGAAGCTCTTTTTATGGCATTAAATAATCTGTTCTTCTAAGAGCTTTGCTTTTTAACATCTACTTCAAGCACTTACCTACAGCTTCTTATTTTTATGCAAGTGTCCTAGATGCTGTGCCACCACTACGCTAGCACAGGTTTTTTAATAGACAGGCTAGAAGCTATTATTTAAGCAAAAAGCTTCCCCTCAAACACTTGTAAGACAGCCTTTTAAAAACTCCAAGCCGCTTTCTGCATCACCAACCAAATGCATAAGCAGTTACCAGCTCCTTACATAGCAGGAAAAGGTTATGATAGCTCTGTACCTTTAATCAGTACTAGTTTTGGGCTAATATTTAAGTTTGAACTACCGCAGCATGTTCTGCAGCAGCACCATGCTTCCCCACAACTCACCAGTACTGTTATAGAGTCTTCTGTGAGAGCAGACTGAATATTTTGGGGGGTTCAAAATATTGAAGAGGAGGAGCAATTCCTGGTCTCTTTGGAGCTATGGTGCCTCTCTTCAAACATTATGTCATATATACCCAGTATATCCCTCACCAAGGGAAGTTTAGCTGCTCCAAAAATGCAGGAAAACAACATTTTCCCTGGCTGAACAGGGACAGATCAATTTTTTGTCCAGCCCAGTCAACAGAACCGCAGCTTTCGGGGCTTGCGTCTCAAATTGTGCCCCTGTTAGATCACAGGTAACATTCGTGCCCTGCCACAGCAGCCTGAAAAGATTCAGAGTAACTGCTGCACCCTGTAACTCGTTTGCCTGTTACAAGGGTGTCAGATCCCCCAGTACACTGGTTATACTGGAGAAATTCTTCACAGGCCACACAAGATGGTCTTTCAAAAGGGGTCATAACTGAAGGTAGGCTCAGAGAGCTCCAGAGAAGACTCTCACACTTGGAAAAAGCAGCACCAAGAGTGGAAATAATACAAAAATGTACATCCAGGTGGATCGTGTCATTTTTCCTGCTCTGTACTAGCTGGTAAAGCTCCAGTGCTCTCCTAAACCCCATCTGAGAACAAGAATTACCTGCTGGTGTGACGAGCTGCCCACTGGCCCGTTCATCTGCTCGTAGTATCTTCTCTCAGCATCGTCATACTTGTATTTATCAAACCAGATCTTCTCATACTTAAAGTAGTCGACTGCCATTTTTCTGCAGAAAATAAAAAAGAAACAAACCCAAAGTGAGTTCTCCTACAAGTACTTAAGGTTAGAAGCTTGCAACGAGCTCATCAGAGCGGTTTTTTCCCCCCCAGAGCTGTGCCCGCAGCTCTCTGCTTGGCAGTTTCACCTCGAGTGGAAAACTTTAAGTAAACATGATCCTATTAAGAAAGCAGGGCAGTCTCTAATCACCCATCCGTGCACCTAGCCTGACCTGCATTTAGTGACAGGACACGAAGCGGGAGTAGAATAAACCAGCTGGTTTGTACCTTCTTCCACAAAAAAAAAAGCTTTCAGAGCAGGATTTTCTAGCCACATGGGAATTTGCTGCTAAGACAGATGTGCACAAGATAATAAAAACCAAATCCTCCCATAAGGAACAGCCCAGCACCTGACACCAACCTCCAGGAATCCAGACACACACACAATTTGTAACAGCATCACAGGTAACTGAACACATGCCCTTGTGGAAGCTGCTGCGACTGTTTAGAAATTAAAATCATCAGTAATGCAACACCTGGAAGGGACAGACACCCATCACTCCAAGGAGGAACAGCATAAAATACCTTAATGCTGCTGTGAAATGGTTGAAGTTATTTTTGTTTAAGTTATTTTTCTTCAGTGCAACAGCTTCCAAATGTTAATTTCTTAACTTGAAGGCAAACAATGCAGCCCTCGGAACAGTAAAGAGAAGAGGATGCGCCCTTATTTCAAGCCAGAGGACAGCTACAGAGTCAACATCGAGGTGGTGGTGAGAGCAGGGACAGAGAATCACAGCAAAACCGCACTGCTACGAGGTTCTACCTCCCAACATTGAGACAGCAACTAATAGCAACCTGCAGACCCATTCCTCATTATCTAGCTGTCCAATGAAAGAGAAAATTATCCCAAACAGGACAGGGTGAAAGGTATGTGTGCTCTAAAGCTCGTCTGTAGCCCCCTGTATCCCTTGACATAAAGATCTAACTTTCCAATAAATCCTAAGAAACTCAAGGATCAAAAGCATCAGAACTAAAGACTGATTCTCCAGGAGCCTTTTTTTCTCCAAGAACATCAGTCACTGCAAAATAATATCTAAAGACCGGCCTTCAGACAGGCTCCCAGGGTGTTACAGCCATCCCTGCAGCAGATTTCAGGGTTCAGCTGGTCAGATATAAAAAAACATATTTAACACAAAGCACAGTATCATACCATGCCTCACCCAGGACTTAAAAAGGAAATCTTTAAATGTTTCTCTCCATCAACTAACTTGCAACTGATTTCCAACTCTGAAGGTCATCTACAATTTGAGAACACGCTCTTCTTACATCCACACACATCAAACAAGCTGTAATCCAGCGAGCCCTGTCCCAGATTTCACAGCAGCTTCCAGACGAAATCATCTAAGGAATTAGAAAGGCAACCCTTCTCCCACAACGAAGCAAATACAGCACCAGATTGATGCTCTACATCGTATTTCACTGTCATCCCCAAGCCTCCTTCAAGCTGGATGCTGGTAGTGATGCTCAAATGTCAGCGTGTCTTGCACGGAGCTCAATGACCAGCAGAGATGCTCAGCAGAACTGGGGATAACCGCTTCTTTGAAGGACCTTGAGGGATTTCAACAGAAATACACAGCAAATAACCACCAATTTAATTTCTCAAATTCAAACACGGAACACTGCATCTTCTGCTGTCTCAGCAAGCCTGTTTAAAACATGATTACTCCCTCCAACTTCTTACTTTTATGTACGTAATAGCAATACAGAAAGGGGCACAGCCCCAGGCTCCCCCCATGTAAAAAGAGGGGAGGTCAAACCTTAGTTCACCTCTCAGCCCTGACTTTCAACACTTAAACCTCTGGCACCACACAAATTATCAGCTTTAGCCACCAGCATTCATCAAGGTCTCCCTACAGCAGCATGCACACTCGGTCCTGCTGACAAAAAGGATGCCCGTCTTCTACACATGCAAATTTTTTCAGCTCAATCCTGACCCGTCAGTTTTGCATGTGTGAGTGTTACCCCAGAATAAACTTCTCCTACTTTGTTTCTGGCGTGGGTACGTTTGAAGCATAAACAGCTGGTTGGGAGGGTTTTACTGCTGCGGATTCCTGCATCTCTGTACTCTCTCCTGCTCTTGACATCTTCAGAGCCTCAGCTGCGTAGTACCGTGACTCGGCACGGTCGTATGTTGGCTTATTAAGCCACACAGTTTCGCTGTCCTCGTGCAGAAAAAAGCAGGTGGGCAGAGGTTGCTCAGCATCACTGGGAGGCAGAGAGTTGGGAGTGACCTCCATGTGTTTGATGCCTGTTTGCTTTCCAGCGCCGTGATTCTTCCTGTCCTCGTCGTGGTTCTCCGATTCTTTGGGGCTGCCGTGTTGCTGCTGTCGGACTTTGCCTGATGGATGACCGTCAAACATGTTTTCGTAGAAGCTCTTCTCAGCATCGTCATAGAGAGGTTTCTCTAACCACACCTCTGCCATGAGAGCCTGCAAACTTGCAATCTGCGGCTTACCATTTACCGTCTGGTCTACAGAGCCAGGTAAACTGGGAACGAAGGAAGTGGCAGAATCAGCAACAACGTCTGGAGCTAAGCTTGGCGTAGCAGGAGTAGGCAGGGCTGTAACGTAGCCCTCATCCGGCGTCTTCAGCCCAACATTGCCAGCGCTTGACAACACAGATGGGACAGTTAAGACGTCTGGAGGAACAAAGAGCTGAGATTTTTCAATAAACGCTTCCTCAGCCTTATCAAAATCAAACTTGTTGACCCAGACACCCTGAATAACGTGGTGACACGCAGACAAATTACCATGGGAGCACAGCGGGGCTGCTGAAAGCATCCTTGGCTTAGGAACATCTTGGACATCTTTTGACCTGGCCGCTAAAGGGGACTGCTCAGCAGTTTGCGCAGTCTCGGGTGCCTCCTCGTTCTGACAAGCCGCTAGTCTTATCCTGTACAGATTCTCGGCGTGATCATAGAAAGGTTTGTCAAACCACACATTGTCAGCTAACAAACCAGTCAGAACAGAGTCTAACTTGGAGGTCACGGTTTTGGGTTTTGGAGAACGCTTCCGTTTCCTTTGTTTCTTTCCATTTTTTGCTCTCTTCAGGTCTCCCTTGAAATCACTTTCGACACAGTCATCATTGCAGACTCCGTTTACAGCTTCTACCTCCTGGCACTCGTCAGGGGCTGCGGCAGCTAGCATCGCTTCTCTTTCGTAATGCAGTCTCTCTGCTTCATCGTATTTGTGCTTGTCTACCCACACTTTTTCCACCGGGCAGGGAGGTTTCCTTGTCCTCATCTTCCAAAGAGTGGCAGCATTAAAAGACAAGCACAACAATGTAGTTGCAGAAAAATTAAATAAAGCAAGGGCATGCATCAGACTTTAGTAATTTCTTAAGAGAGTCAAAAGATATCATGCCATTATTATTCATGGTAAAGAGCCAAAGCATTTTTTTACATTTTGCCTTTGTTATAAATTTTAATTCAAAGAAATTAAACTGCCTAAACATGTCCAGTTTCTCAAGTCAAAATAAGCTTCCTCCTAAAATATTTCTGCTGTTTGACAAATATTCTGTACATACTATTCAAAACTAAAAGCACTTCAAATTTCACTTTTAAGACAACTGGCAGAAAAGAAAACTGATGAGGATTTGTTCAAATTTTTTCCAGATATTTTTCCAAGTTGGTGGATTATCCCATAATTACTTGTTGAGTATTTCCAACAAGGCACCGATTTAGGAAGACAGGCTAAAAAATTCTTGAATGTCTTCAGAGGTCATTACTTCCACCTATTTGTGTTTTTCCAGCAGAAAGCCAGCAGAGGGAGCTCATGGAAAAACTATGACTCTCTTCTGGTTAAAAATTCCAGTTACTGGCAAATTAAAATCGATCAAGAGCTGGAGATCTCATTGTTAATTTAGCTTACCCAAAAAATCTTATATTGAAATTAAAAATATTGCATCTACTTTGTGTTTTCCTGCCCTAGTCATACCTTGCTAGGAAAAAACAATCAAGAAGGTTCAAGGATGTGTAGATTGGAAATGGTATAGGAAATACTTTTCCAAGTACAGAATTTACTGAGCCACTAAAATATCTAATAAATAGGTAACCACCTCTCTGCCAAACACAACTACATGGTCTGATTCCTGGAGTTAAAAAAAAAAGTCTGAAATGAGGTACTTGTAAGCCACCTCTCCCTTTAGCTACCACCAGCTGCAAGTTTTACATCTATAATCGATCTACGACAGATTGCCAAATAAAACTCACATACAGCTGAAATATCCTCCAGACTTCAGTCGATGGCTTACAGGTCCAACTAGTTCTGGAGAATTTGACAAGCCTCAAGTCCAGGGCTTGACAGAGCAGTAAAAAAATAAACAATTATTACAAGTAAACACTTTTGCTTTTTTAAACTTTCAATTTATATAGCTTAAAATATTAAAGCAATGGAACACTGTATTTCAATTATAAAAATGACTAGAAAAGTAGATTTTTTTTTTTTCCTTACTGGAGTTGTGAAACTGTTCCTCTCCACTAGCTGCTGAAAACACTGTGATGCAGCTAAAAACATTTATCTCAATTGAAACGTATTTTGAGGTCTTTATTTTACTTTACACTCTTCTCTTGCATTTTACAGCACTTATGGAGCAATAGAACACTTCTTACTACACACAACTAGAAACAAACCAGTGCTTTCAAAAAACATTAATCCACTTGTTACCATCAACATCAAAAACACCCCAACCGGAAGCAAACGCTTGTAAGGTACAAGCAGTAACTTGGGTTTGCTTGTCAGGATAATCTCTGCTACTGCAACTTCCACAGCATTATCCTCAAGCAGTGAAAAAATGACATCATGTACATCATGCGGAGAGAAGACATGCCAGTCCCACTGAAGAGTTTGCACAAGTTATTTTGAAGTACAAGGATATATTCCTGTTATTAACAAAAAAAGAGGAAGCCTCATACTCCTGATCATCTCAGCTGCTGGACAAATAATTCAGATATTTTTATAATCTTAGGTAGCAATCAGCAACCCTCTTAAAAAATAATCACTACAGGAGATCCAGAGGGACCTTGACAGGCTGGAGAGGTGGATGGATCCATGTGAACCTCATGAAGTTCAACAAAGCCAAGGGCAAGGTCCTGCACGTGGGTGGGGTCAACCCCCAGCACAAACCCAGGCTGGGAGGAGAATAGATGGAGAGGAGCCCTGACAAGGACTTGGGGCTGCTGGGGGTGAGAAGCTCAACATGACCCAGCCACATGTGCTGGCAGGCCAGAAACCACCAGTGTCCTGGGGGCATCACCAGCAGTGTGAGCAGCAGGTCGAGGGAGGGGATTCTCCCCCTCTGCTCTGCTGAGACCCCCCCTGCAGTGCTGCATCCAGCTCTGGGGTCCTCAGCACAGGACAGACACGGAGCTGTTGGAGCGGGGCCAGAGGAGGCCACGGAGATGGTGCGAGGCTGGAGCAGCTCCCGTGCGAGGACAGGCTGGGAGAGTTGGGGGTGGGGAACCTGGAGCATAG